AAGATCTGTAATATAAGATGGAGCTAGGTTGTTGAGAGCTTTGTAGGTTAGAAGTAAGATTTTGAATTCTATTCTGGATTTGACAGGGAGCCAGTGGAGAGAAGCCAAAACTGGAGATATATGATCTCTCCCAGTAACTCCAGTTAAGACTCTGGCAGCAGCATTTTGGATCAACTGAAGACGTTTTAAAGAAGTATTTGGACATCCAGATAATAAACCATTGCAATAGTCCAGTCTAGACGTGACAAATGCATGGACCAGTTTCACTGCTACCATTAAGACCATCATAAAACCCAAAATAATGACAATTCTCAAACTATAAAACTTCCTCTGCTTCATTAATTTACTTTAGACAGACTGGTTCAGAAGATCAGAATACAGATAAACTCATATAAAACAATCTATGGCGATGGTCGGGACAAGCGAAGAGCTTGTAGAACATTTGACCTTGAGTTTGAAGCTGAAGTGATGAAAATGTGACACTCCGTCTAGTGATGAAGATGATTTTTGATGTTTGGTATGCCTCGATGCAGCCACATACCAAAATGGAAGTTGGTACCTCAACTATTTTTCAAGTTATCGTGCTCGCAACGTGCACGGACAGACTGCATTTCCATTTCCCCTTTTGTGTGACGGGGACAAAAAGTGAGGAACGTGTGGAGTTCCAGCCATGAGCGGCTCAGTTATGCAACCTAAATTCACATGCAGATTAGACTAAAGCTACACGCCTCTCACAACAGAGAGGCGTCAGGCTCTTTGTCCGCCTGTCTCACAGAGACGTGTTTTGCTCACATTCATGAAGGTGTAAATTTGAGTGAAACTGAGAATTCAGCCTAAAGCTGGAACATTGGAATCTGAGACCTCCTCCTCTCTTTAAAGAGGTTTTTACTCGTTTGACGTAAATAACTTCCTTCACCTCCCTCTCAGACCGTCTCTGTCTGAAACAGAAACATGTTGGTCCTCAGCAGAGTGTCCCTGGTCCTGGAGGCGTAGGTGGACCTCTGAGTCTTGTCCTCAGCAGAGTGTCCCTGGTCCT